TCATTATGTTCTATACTGGTCTCAGTTGTGTGGATTTTTTCATAAAGTTAGTATAGTAATCATTATCTCAGTAGTACACTCTATCAATGTACAGGGAAAGAAAGAGCTTCAGATTCATTTCTTGTGACCATGGGCAAGCCATGTAACCTCAGTGTACTCATCTGTAAAAGGCATTTGATGATAATAGTACCTGTCCCAGAGGATAACTGTAAGAAGTAAATGAGTATTTCCTTTAAAAAGCCTCTATCATGGTACCCAGACATGCAGATACCTGGCTATTTGCAGACAGGCCTCTTTGGAAAGGCTAGCTGGATATTTCCTCAGTTTAAAGACCCATTGAGACATGGTCTGCTTAAAGCCAACCCAAGTGTCAACGTGATGTGAATAGGCTATTAATAAAGTATAGCAAGTTATTGCCGACTTAAGCTAAGTGGAACACACAGCAGAAATAATTAAAAGAGGTTCCATGTGAGCTGCCCATAGAATCGGGATTTGTAGGGCTCAAAGGGGACGTTAGTTCAATCCTTTCATTGCACAAATGCAGAAAGTAAATGCCATCACGGTAAAGCCTGATCATAGCCAAGTAGAATGGGTGTAAGAGCTCCTGCCACCCAATCCGGCACCTACAGGCTTTATATTGAAGAGAGAGAAAACCAATTCTGTCTAATTTCAATCAGAGTCAGACCTCTTAATGCTTGAGTCTAAGGTGTGTATTTAGACTCTCATGGCAAGTAATCTTACCATTAGGTAGATTTCACATAAAAGACAATGTGTGTACAAAATTAAAAACCACGCTCACATAAAACTTTTGCCAATAGTTACCCAAAATGTCAGATCATCAATATTGATTTGGTTCTGGGACAAGAATTTCCACAAGATCTCAGTTTTCTGGTCAAGAATAGATGATAAAAGCCAAAACCGAAGCAGCACTTGCGACGAACAGAAAGAAAATAAAGTTGTATCCACACCACTTCAGCTCTAATTAATTATTTCCCTTGCACAGGTATGGCTAAGGAAGTATTTTGAGATGTATATGCACTAGGTTCTTATAGGAATGTAGCAAGATGTAGTAGAGGGTTATTAGTGGGTAAGTGGGACTGTTGATTAAAATAATATAACCTATCTCTAACATTTGATTAGAGAAAAATCAGATTTATGATATATGCTTTGCGATCACTTTCAGTCAAAGGTGGGAAGTAAAAAACCCGTTCTGTGTCTGTGGCAGCCAGCTTTCAATGATCTGCATTGTTCACCTCTGGACTACTGTGCCATAGCTTCCAATGTCTTCCTGCTTCCTACTCTTAGAAGTGGTTTTTATTGAATACTGAGCAAGTATAAACCATCATTTACGTCTTATAGAGGAAAACTAAGATGGGCATCTGTATGGTTGCCAGTGACTTTAATCAAAACGGTGACTACTAACACCCTTGAGACATCTTCCGTGCCCTCTCAAATGCCCCACTCCTCCTGGTGCCTTTCACATCCATCGATGACCTTGACTGTCTTTCTCTAAAGTTTACCAATAGATTGTTTCATTTTTGCCTGGTTTTATAAATGGAACTAGACTTGA